ACACACACACACACACACACACACACACACACACACACACACACACAGGAATATTACTCAACCATAAAAATGAAATAATGCCATTTGCATCAATATGAATGTACCTAGAGATTATCATATTAAGTGAAGTAAGTCAGAGAAAGACAAATATAATATGATATCACTTATGTGTGGAATCTAAAAAAAATGATACACATGAAGTTACAAAACAGGAATAGACTCACAGACATAGAAAACAAACTTATGGTTACCAAAGGAGAAAGGGAGGGACAAATTAGAAACTTGGAATTAACAGATACACATTACTATTTATAAAATAGATAAACAACAAGGACCTACTATATAGCACAGGGAACTCTATTCAATGTCTTGTAAGAACCTATAATAGAAAAAATCTGCAAAAAAAGGTATATATAGATATATAAGCATAGCTGAATCACTTTGTTATATACCTGAAACATTGTAAATCAACTATACTTAAAAACAAACAAACAAACAAAAAAACCAAACACATGACTGAAACATATGGTAAAAATATGAGCAATAAAGAGGAAACCCTAAAAACTACCAGAGTAGAAAGATGACCTACAAAGGAAGAAAAACCAAATAACCCTGGATACCTGATTAGCAACATTCTATGCAAGAAAACAATGCAGAAATATTTTTTAAATACTGAGGGGAAATTTACTTTGAATCTACAATTTTATTCATAACCAAATTATCAGTAGTTTGAGGTAGAGTGCAAGTAAATTAATGCCATTTTTGGACATACAAAGACTTAGAACAATTAGCACTCATAACCTAAAATAAACTATCAAGAAAAAAAATCCAGAAGGAAGTGTTGGAATGCAAGTATAATGTACACTAGGTGGGAAAAGTATTAAATAATATAGTAGTGCAAAAAATAAAAAGTGAAATAGCTCTGTCCTGACCCCTTTATGTGTTGTGTATTCTCCTGTACCTTTTTCAAAGCCAGTGTAAACATGTACACAAATGCAGATATAAAAGATATTTTTTATTCTTTCAACAATGAGCTCACTCTATATAAAACAGTTTGTAGTTTTTCCCACATTCAATGTAATGTCATGCACATCCATCAATCTTGATCCATGCAGATCTATCTTACTCATTATACTTTATCTATATTCCATAATAGAGATATTCATTTAATGTGTCCCAAATGTGGACATTGAGATGATTTTTAATATTTTGCTCTTATAAATATAAGCTTGGAGAATTTTTCGGTATTTCTATAGAACAGAGGCCTAGAGTTAGAATTCCTGGGTCAAAGAATATGTGTATTTTAAATGTTCAGAGATCTTGTCAAAATGACTTCTAAAAATATTGATAATTTATACTCAGACTAGAAGTACATGAGATGCAGTGTTTTAAGGAAGGAAATTTTGACCATGAGACTAGACATCAAAACATCACAAAATCTTGAATGAAAGAAGCCAGATGCCAAAATATTAATGTATGCTTCCGTTAATGTAAATTTCAGGAAAAGGCAAACAGAAGCAATGAGGGTAGAAGTCAGAATTGCAGTTACCTCTGTTTGCAGGTACATCAACTGGGAAGGGGCACAAGAGAGCCCTCTGGCGTGATGGAAATATTCTTTTTTAAAAATAGTTGTCTCAGGAGTGAAGGCAAATGTAAAAATTCATCAAGCTGTACACATAAATATTTTTGCACATTACTGTGTACAACGATTGAAAGTTATACACAAAAAAATCAAACAAGCAAAAAAAAAAAGTGACCACTGAAAGCCCAGTAAAGATAGAGGAAACTTTAACCTTGAATCACTAGCTGGAGGAAAGTTGCCCTGAAGCGGTGGCCCACTTGCTTTGGACTTGGTGTGAGCACAAAACCCCTGAGATTTAGGGGTGTATTTGGTATCACAGCATAGCCTAAACTTTCTTGGCTAGTACAGTACTCATCATCCACAAACTGCCAAGGTCAGAAACATGGTTTGGTCAGCACACCAAGGCAGGTCTGCCTCTCATAGGCTAAGTGACACAAAACATGCTCATAAATGAATGTGTAAATGAAAATGCCAGTTTATTAAATGAAAGGGAGAGGAAAAAAGCCCTGTCATTCTAACTAGGATATCTAGTGTGTTACCATGATCAAGCCCATTCTCTCAAGACAGACCTGCACAGAAAGTCAAACCATAATAAAAATTTGGTGCATGTGTTCTAATAGTATTAATTAGATGAACCAAATGTTTAATGCCATCCTTTCAACAGAGCTTATGAATCCATTTCATAGTAAAGACAGCTTTGTCAGTGGGTCCCTAGGGAATACCTCAGGTCCCTAGACTGCAGTTTTCACTCCCCTGGGCACATACCTGAATTGCCTCAAGGAGTCCCATCTCCCCTGATCCCCCACCACCCCACTTTTTGCTTTCAATCCTATTAGCTTTTCTTGTGGGGCATGTTATTGCATTTTGTCTTATTTTTTAGATAGATGTATCTGGTCTCTGAATCATTCTTTTTTATATATCTACTCCTAACTATGTAGTTACGTATTTTTCCTTTCAAAGAACAATCATAAATCTTTTACTTTCAAATTCTTTGGTGGAAGTAATAGGAGTTTGAGGTGGGGGAGAATGGTGTCCTAACCATAGTCTCCAAGTACTTATAACATCCAAACTAATACAGACACTAGGAATTCTATACAGTGTATCTGAATATTTCATAAGGTTTATGGGAGCATTTTATAGAATTCTTGAAGGCTTGATGGACAGTGAAGAAATTGTTATTAGAGGCTGGAGAAAAGGGGGTTCCTGTTATGTACCTATTATACAGTGGAGGAAAGTTTGGCAACACTGTTACTTGCTGAATTGTGGAATATGGAAAATATCTTTAACAAATTGGTACATTTGGTAAGGAAACTTCCAGGCAGAATGTTGATAGTACCAAATGATTTTTTTTATTTAACTAAGTGTGAAAAGACACAGATAGAGATGAGATAAAACAACTATTCAATTTTTAGGCAGAATTGAGAGAAAATATAAAAAAAATCTAGGGTCTTTAGGTTAAAAAATAAAGATGTTTTTCATTCCTAGCCTGTCCAGAGGGCTAAAAAGTAAGGAATTGCTTTAAGGCAAAGGCTACAGCCAGGGTAGACTCTCTTTCAAGACTGTAGAAAGAGTTAAGAATGTTCTTTCTAGATCTTCTCAGCTTGATAAGAGGGCTTCTAAATATTTTAAGGCAATTTCCAACAGTTTCCTGACAGCTCAAGATGGAAAGTGTCTGTCTCAAAGAAATTTGTGAGTGGTTATAATTTGATCTATAAGAATCCCCCAAATTTTTAAAGAGAATTGTATTGGCAGAAGCAATACCTGTTTAGACTGAAAGAGCCTAAGTAGCTCTCAATATAGCAATGCTCAATTTTTATATGGGCAAAAATTTATATTTACATCTTAAAAGCTGAATATTTTAAATTAAGTGATGTGGAAAAAAATGTGAGGTAATGTTGCAACCAAAATTGGTAGAGAATCAGAATCATATGTTGCTATTTTGAAAAGCTTGCCTACTATCAACAAAGAGAAAGTGTTTCTGAATATTGCTGGAATTAGGCGGTACCACAGTGTCATGCTTAGTTTGAGCCATGCTTTGTCATTATGCTATGACTGATACGCGTTTCTACAATGACTGCCTGTAAAGCTGAACAATTTAGTGTGGTTACATTTTCTGCATAAGATCTTAAATGTTATTCCATTCTTTTTCAAAGACATCTTTAAAGCCAGGATCTTGCAAGAACAATGTGAGTAAGGCATGTCTTCAAAGCCTTTGAATTCCGTGACAGATTGTCAGGTTAGTTTCCTTCATTCACTGTGTATCTTCTTTGAAGAAACTCTTTGTTTCACCTTATTGATGAACCCTAAAGGTTTTTTTTTTTAATTTATATTTTTTATGGAAAAGAAGCAACGATGAAAGATCAAGAGAGTATCCAGTCACACTACTGCTCATACACAACCTAAAAGAATAAATGATCCATGCAGGTACAATGTGTAACATTACCCTTAAAATTAATGGCAACATTGTAAGAAACTTTTCTTTTGAATAACAGCCTTATGTATCTTATAATGACATAAAAAAAGGAATTTACAAATGTAAACTACTGACTTACTACAAACTGCTCCTTTTTTGCAATTTTTTTTTTCCTCTAAAGGACAGACCATCTTCCCTGGGAAATTATCAATGCCTCCTTGTTCTGGAATCTCTACAGTAGCATCACCAAACATAGAGAAAACTCTTTCCATTCCTTTGAATCTGAGAATTTGCCTTCACCATCCAACTCACTAGCACTGTCCTCTTTGGCACCTGTGACAGTAAGTGTGTTCTTCCCTTCTCAAATATCTTTAAGCTTCAAGTCTCCATTGAACAGTTAATTAAAAGAAATTGCCTGCTTTTAATTGTAATTTAAAAATTTCCTTAGTTATTGGTATGCATTTGCTGTGCCATATGGTAAACATAATGTTTATCATTATGCATGCAGACTACATGCACTGTTACACTCAAAAAGCAACTGATAATTAGCAGTTGTATCAATTGTTTGGTGATTATAACGCTATTCTTTAGATATTGTACATCCTAACATGATAGTCTGTTACTCATATTTGGCATTTTACTTTATTTTAAGTACATGTTAAGAATTTGGGGGTTTATGTGTAACACATCTTATTTTTTTCCCCATTTAAAAATAGGCTCCCATTCAGCGTTTTCTTGAGGATCATCAGATTTTCAGGGGTGGATTATTGAAATGAAGCAGGATAAGCCTACATCACTATTCCTATAATAACCTGTGGACAAGTTTATGCTGTGTTTCTGACCCTCGCATATTGTGAATTGTAATTTTTAAAAAATTGTTATTGTTTTGTTCCTATACTACGATTGTTTTCGGGTATGTTAAGGTGGGGGATATTGAACATGAGAGTTGTATTTGATCCTGCGGAGGATCCTGGATGTTGAATAGGATAGGGTTACTGCATGGGAATTTAGGTTGTCTTCCTTGAGAATGAAAGGGTGTGTTTATCTGTGGGCAAAAGGATGTACCCAGATATTCCCAGATATTTGGGCAACCAGAGGTATAGATCTATGGTAGACACTTCTGGTAGCCGGTGGTATCTGTTCTTTTCGTTTTGCTCAGTAATAAAACTCCAAGCTTTAGCTGGGCATTTGTACAACCAATAAAAATAAAAAGATTCCATTTCCCAGCCTCTCTTGCAACTAAGTATGGCCATATGACTAAGTTTTGGGCAATGGATTGTAAGAAGTGGTTTGCATAGATCTTCTGGGGAGTTTTCTTGAAGAGAGGAAGTATTTCCTCTGTTCCTCTTTTGCTGGTCTCCCTGGCTAGCATGTGGATGATATGGCTCAAGGTGAAGCAGCCATCTCATAAGTTAGGAGGGAAATCACAGGTAATAGTTGGCAGAGCAAACTGTCAGAAGGAGTCTGGGATCCCTGATAGGTGTGGAGCCACCATTTTAGCCTAAGACTGCTTATGTTTATCCGAGAGAGACACAAACTTTATTTTTTACCACTGTTATTTTGGGCTTTCAATCTGAGCAATGCTCTTTTATTATCTTTAGTTTATACTGTCTCATATTAATACACCTATTTTATATTATCTTGTTTATTTCTTGCCTATTTTTTTCCTCTTCCCCCTCTAGAATGCTAGTTGTATGAAAATAGACACCTCTTTCCCCCTCTCCCTTTTTGGTAACATGTTACAATTTTTATTGTGACAATGGCCTTCTGGTGAGGGTGGGGAGTTTGATCTCAAAACTATTGCTCCATTTAAGGTTTAGTTATATGGAAATTGCCATCATGACTGATAAGTCAACCTATCTTCAGTGTTGAAAGACTCACATGGTAAACATAAAAGTACATACACGACTTAGTAGTGTATACTCAGTGGAAAACAAAAGAGCATTCATAACAGCTATTTCTTTTAAGACATGCAGGTAACACAAATAAACACTGCGCTACTAGGATAAGTTGACACAGTTGCCACAACTTACTCAGCATTCCTTTTAGGGGTGGGGGTGGGGTTAAATTCATTACAAAAAAAGTGCCTTCAGTGCTTAGTGTTATACCCGTGCTGCCATGTCACAAAAATAGGCTTGCCAAGGTGGGCGAAGTGTATGAATGCTCGAGCCTCACAGAACTGCAATCAACTGCAACTATAATGAGACTGAATGAAGTTTACCATTTGACCAGTGGGTAATACTTCCAAGGCATTCAATTAGCTTAACTTCTGCAGTATTCTAAGCTGTTCACATTGACAATCGCAAACATTGTAGTGCTTGTTGCAAGGGAGGCATGTTGTTATGGAAATGACAGGCCAGCCAAGAAACAAGCACCACTCGGAGGGTTGGAGTACTCAGATGTATTACGCCGGCGGGCTCAGAGGGGCTTCTGCTCCGAAGCTCTGAGCACCTCCAAGATGTGCACATGAGGTTTTATAGGGTTAATTACAAGTATGGGGCTATTAGCCAATAAGGCTCAAACAACAAAAAGCAAGGAATCAGTACACTGAAGCTTATCAATTTGGAACAGATCATGTTACTGACACTTGTTGAGCTTGGATTTACAGTTAGCTTGTTAGACCAGTAAACTGACACTAAACTTCAGATTTACAAGTTAGCCCAGCAGAACTTAGATCAGTAAACTGACACTTATCACACTTAGATTTGTGACTTAGCTTGTTAGCCCAATTGGGCTTTTCCTTCACAATGTAACTAGCTGTTTCGTCTACAGTATTCTGGGAAAGCATTCCTTGGGTTCTACATAAAAGTAATAGTATTAAACAGTCTAGTGGCAATCGCTGATAGGCTGTTTACATGAATGGTATTTCCTTCATTAATTGTTTTGAAAGGGCCAACTAGTGAAGGGGAAAAACCCAAAACAACCCCCAGCACTATTCCAGTTGGCTGAGCTACAGAAGTGGAAGCTCCTTACCACACAGATGGCATTTGACTGTCATTTTAGAAGGGTTTTCCTTCAAGTGAGACTACTGCATTGTCTCCCAAGTTCTCTCCAAGTGGTGAATGCTTCATTATGTCATCCATGCCATTTACATGCCACTCATGTTTAATATCTCCAAATTTCTTTTTAATGACATCTTTAAAGCTGACATAAATAATCTTGCTTTTTAAAGGTGCACTCTCAGAAGCCCAGAATATAAATTCTTTCTTGGACTCTTCTGTTTCTCATGTGGCATCATACAGAGCCGATTAGCAATCATTTGGAGGTACCAACGTCACAACAGATGTATAGGGATCCTCTGCAGTATCACCAGTGTCATTCCCCAAGATCTGCTTTGCTTCCTTTTCAGTCTTTTTCTCTCCCCTTAAACAGAAGATAACAGTTTTATTTCTTTTTTTGATCTCCTCTTGTGTAGATTTCCTTATTTTCTTATCGTGAAAAACTCTGGTGATGTCATCATTCACTGTAACTCCTGAGCTCTGGCTCCAGCTCTGTGGCACTAGGAGGGGGAGAAGGAGGGGTGGTTGAAACTTCTCTCTCTTGTTCACATCTGAATCTACAGAGCTTAGAACAGTGCCTGGAAAATAGCATGTGCTCAGTAGATATCTGTAGAATGAATGAATGAAGACTAGATTAGAATCGGATTCCTCTAAAAGTAATAAGCGCCTGCTCTGAGAAGCTAAATTTAGAATTCCAAGGAACCTGGAAGGTTATTATAGGTGAGGAAACTGACATTTTAGAGGGGTTGTAAGACTCATAAGCCACTCAGGTTCCTTGTCATGCCAATTGTTGGCCTAGTTTTTCTAGCCAGGTGTGAGTTCTAAGATCACTGCTGCCTTACACATGTACTATTTGAAGCCGAGTCCCCCTAAAACTGAGTTCCCTTACTGAGTTTATGATTAATCTATCTAAAACTTAATTCCCTTTCTTATCCCCCGCTGACCTCAATCCCGTGCTGACTGAACTAATCAACCAGAGTCAGATGAGGAAAACTGCTGTTGTCAATAACATGGTTAATGTACTGATTGCTATCCTAAACCAGAAACATCCTGACTCACGAAACTATGATTAAGAAATGTCTCAAGATGATGATTAATCCCAGCCGCTTTGTTTTTACTATTTAAGAAACCTCTAACTCAAGACCAGGTGGGAGTGGATCTGAAGCTTGGCTCCCACAACCTTGCTTGACGCCCTGCAAAAATCCCTTACTTTTTTACAAGCACTTGCTGTCAATTCGGCTTTCTGTGCCTCTGGCACATGAGTCCTTGCTAGGTTACTTATTTGACTGATCAGCAACTGTGAGGATACTGTAGACAGGGCTGTTCAGTAGCCCAGAGTTTTGAAAGGATGACCTCCTGCCTTTTCCCCACACAGGAAGTGCAAGAACATGGCTAACAAATTTTTCAAGCCTTCCCAAACACTGAAGAGCTTAGAAAGCCCAGCAATGGAGAGCAGTGTGGTCCCAACCAGCAGTCAGCCTTAGCTATTTATTACCTGGCACTCTAGGGCAGGAAAGCTGGCAATTCTGAGGAGGACAGTTGTCCAGGCTCTCCTCTGGCAACCATCTTCCTCCACCAGCTCCCAACAAAGACATTTAATCCTTTTCTTCCACTGCCCTCAGTTCTACTTGGCTGGGCTTTGAGAGGACAGAGACTGGAGTACGACGTGACGCAAGTCACCTCTCCGCGCATCCTTTACAGCACGCGCGCGCCCGCGCGGGGCGTGGGGAGTGCGGAGGCGGG